TATCCTTTCTGCACAACAGCAATGCATGATTAAGTAGTCTCATCTCAGACAAAGGAAACAAAAGAAACAACACAACCCTCTTGTGCTACAAAGGCTCGGTAGGGTTGGGGATTGCAGTGGTAATGCCCAAGTACATTTCAAACCATTACTGCAGCTACTCTGTTCACAGCACTGAATACTTGTTTCTGCACCTCTGCCTCGGTGATGAACCCCTGCCACCCCCTCAGATTATTCTTCAGTGACTGACGGTGGTCAAGGTAGCTCCAAACGCTTGAGAAAAACAAAAAAAGATGGAATGCTTAAGAATTAGGACAAACTTACAAAGCATAAATACCCTCTGAACACAGAACAGTTTGAAAGAAACATTGGTGGCAATTGGTCAGTTGACCACAAAACTGTATAATCCATTATGCTGGACTAGTAAAATCTGAATTTGTGGTCTGTATTATAACCACTGATTGAAATAATTTTGTTCTCATAGCAAACTGGAGCAAGAAAACAAGTTTCATCACTGAATCCATGAGATGCTTCTTGAGTATTGTGTTCAGTTCTGGTGTCCTCAACATAAAAAGGACACAGAACTGTTGGAACAAGTCCAGAGGAGGGCCATGACAATGATCAGGGGATTGGAGCACCTCCCATATGAAGATCAGCTGAGAAAGTTGGGGCTGTTCAATAGGTTGCCCAAGGAGGTTGTGAATGCTCCATCCCTGGCAAGTGTTCAAGGCCAGGTTGGACGAGGCCTTGGGCGATATGGTTTAGAGCGAGGTCTCCCTGCCCATGGCAGGGGGGTTGGAACTTGATGATCTTAAGGTCCTTTCCAACCCTAACCATTCTATGGTTTTCTATGATTCTCTGTGGTTCTCTATGGTTCTGTGAAAGCTTGAGAACCACTCAGTGGACAGTTATGATCAAACCTGTCTTGAAGACAGCTACTGATCTTATCTATTGCAACTGTTGATGTTCTCCTCCATGCAGACATATAATCTTGTTTTTCTCTGTGTGTGAGTCCGACTGAACTCCAGTGGCAGAATTTCACAGAATAAATAAGATTTTTGTCTTAAAAACGGTAATTTCTGGAAGTTCACAGAAGATAACTGCCTTAAATTACACCCAGCTCTGGCCAAATCCACCACAAAATCATGTCCCTAAGCACCACACCTACATGCCTTTTGAGCACCTCCAGAGATGGTGAGTACACTACTTCCCTGGGCAGGCTCTTCAGATGCTTGACAACCCTTTGGTGAAGAAAGTTTTCCTAGCACCCAATCTAAACCTCCCATGGAGCAACCTGAGGACATTCCCTCTTGTCCTATTGCTTATTACCTGTGAGAAGAGACTGACCCTCACCTTGCTACATTCTCCTTCCATATAGAGAGCAAAAAGCTCTTCCATGAGCCTCCTTCTCTCCAGGCTTAACAACCCCAGTTCCCTCAGACACTCCTCATAGGACTTGTGCTACAGACCCTTCACCAGCTTCACTGCCCTTCTCTGGACCTACTCCAGCACCTCCAAGTCTTTCTTTTAGGAAGAGCCTCAGAACTTAATACAGGACACAAGGCACAGCCTCAACAGCTCCAGGTAGAGGGGCACAATCCCTTCCTAGTCCTGCTGGCCACATACCTTCTGGTACAAAATAGGGTATCTTGGCCTCCTGGGAATACTGCTGGCTCATACTCAGCCAAGCCAACCAGAACAACAACGAATGCTTCTTAGCTATCACAGTGGGAGTACGGGATGGAGATCCACATAGCAGTAAGATAGAAGTCCTGCTGATGTATTAAAAATCAGGGAAGCACCTGAGAAGTCACACAGGAATTAGGACTTCTCCCCAGAAAAGGCAGCAGGTTAAACAGCTCAACTGAAGCGAACATAAACCTATGCATGCAGTATTGGCAACAAACAGGAGGAGCTGGAAGCCATTATGCAGCTGGAAAACAATACAAAACCAGTCCAGCCCAACGTTAACTGAAGAGCAGCACATGCCACACAACTACATTCCGTAAGTCCCACACTGCTTCCTTCCACTTAAAATTTCTCTTAGAAATACAAAACACCGACAGACTTAGAGATCTTGGTCCAAAATGAAGACTCCTAATGCTAGCACCTAAATTGAGCAAATCATTCATATACGAAGTTAGCATCTACTGCCAACCCCATCTGCCAACAGCATGTAGGGTTGGCTACAAGTATGGAAGAAAAGGGAGGTTTCCTCTTAACCGTAATCTCTCAGAAACCCAGTTATCCTCCTGGAGCATTCACCCAGTAAGTCTAAATTACTGAAAGCAAGATAAAGCTTAAAAAAAAAAGTTAAAAAAAAATGATAATCAAATGTTAAGTTAAACTCAACATTCAGCAAGCAGACTACAAAACTCATGTAGCACACAGGGCTTTTAAAAGCCGCATGAGGCAAGTATGATCTCAAACTTCTTGGGACAGTTTACTAGTCTTTTGAACTCTTCTGAATTTCAAGTTTCAATCCCTTTCCACAGGTAGGTTAAATTCACTATTATTTGTGATGCACCTGTATTCTGTTAATAAGAAACAGTTCTCCAGGAACAGTGGATTTTACGTTAATAACAATACTTGATACAAATTCTTCACAGAACTCCTCAATCTGCTTTTGCTGCAAACTGTATCAACTGATTGCAAACTGAAACAAGATGAGAGAACTTCACTAATTCTGTATTTAGTCCTCAAGATCAAAATGAAAGCTACCGTAATAATGCAACATTACTCATGATGACCAATACTGCTCATGGTGCTGCTGGATAAAAAAAAAAAAAACCCACAAAAAACAAAAAACAAAACCACCTTAAAGCCAGCAAAAACCTGAAAGAAGTTGTACCGGTTTTGGTCCCACATTCCTCCACATACTTGAATAAGCTCTGCAGAAGACAAAGAAACTTGCTTTCACTTTTTCACTGGCATTTTCACATTCTTGCTAATGGAAATCCCTCTTAGAATATTACTCCAGGATAAGAAACAGTAGAATGCAATCCGATATTTGGGTAAAAGAGGATTAGTAATAATGTAAACCAAATTTAGTAGATATTCTGATTAAGATAGTCTTTCAATTTTTAAAAAATTATTTAGCTTAACTACCTAATAATGTCCCACTATCACCTTTATGTCACAAATTGTGGAATTTGATTCCTATAACTGATGTTGCAGCAGTCAGCACCAAATATATTCCCTCATGCAACAGCATGGCTTATCACAGGCCATAGGGTACACTTTTTACCTCCAGTCATGTGCTAGAGAAAAGGCTGTACCACCACAGTTGGAAGATAATGTGCCATCTACAAGGCTGGTTTCGTACAAGACATTAGCGTAATTCACAAAACCAGCTGGCAACTGCTTACTGAGGTTTAGTGAATCTTATCTATACAGCTGTTCTTGGCAGTATCCTCATCTTTTCATAGGCAGCCACACAAAGCCGCAATAATTTTTTCAAACCAGCTCCAGTACACATCCTTTTCAACTCCCAACACAACAGCCTCCCTTCCAAAGCATTATGTGCCTTGATCACTCTTAGAAGTAACTTTTTCAACATGAAGAATCAGAAAAAGAGTAACAGCTGCTAGACTGGAACACATAATGCATCAGAAGTAAAATTAGATGGCACCCTTATATCAAAGACATAGTAAGAGTTAAAAAACTTAAAATTACAGTAAGAAGCCAAGGTTCAGAACAGATCACTTTATTAATGACAACAGGCCATACAAACTCTTAGGGTCTTTCATGAGGTTTGTAATTTTAGCACCTCAGAATGATTCCAAATCTGATTCCTTCCTCCTAAGCAGTGAGGTTTTGCAGAGAACCACTCATTCTTTGTAAATGTAAGCTACCAAAAAGTGACAAAGGAAGTTGCAAGCTACGCAAATCTGGGAAATTACTATGTACAATGTCAAGGAGGAAGGAAAAAGGAAAAACTTCAAGATGCCAGTGGTGGGGAAGACTACACCACCTGAATCGCTCCACTGCCCAAGCAAAGAAGCCCAAGCACAGGAGGCACTACCTCACTGTTTGTTCTCTGACCGCATGTTACCACTGGACCCAGTTGCACTTCCCACCACAGCTGCCACCTCCCAGCCCACAGCCCCTGAACCTCTCCCCATGTAAGCGCACATCATATCAGTTTTCCCTCAGGTGCACTACTTGGTGATTTCAGCATCCTTCATGCAAAAATAAAAATAGAATTATTAAACAAGGCACAAGCCAGAGAGAAATCACACCCAATCCTAGACAGGAGTTACTAATCCACCTCTCCTCAGCCAACCTAACACCCAACAGAGATCACAACCTGCTCTGAAAATCCCACAGAGGTACACCAAAAATGCTTACTAATAAAAAGCCGTGCATTTCCCCAGAAACCTCCAGCTTTTTGGGGAAGGGGCAAAGCAGATGTCTCTGAAGCCCACTCAAGCACACAAACTGCCAATGGTGCCCAACAACATCACCTGAGCAAATCTATGGGTGTGAAGAACCTGCATGAACACAAAGAAAGATGCTAGACTACACTCTGAGAACTGCCGGGCAATATTAAACCCCTCAAACCTCATCTTTGCTTCAAAATATGCAGGACACGAGACTGGAGAAACAACGGGGGAAAAAAATGTAAAGATGGCTAAAGATGTCTCGTCACGGATTTTAATACACACTCCAAAACTCTAGAGGGCACCCGAAATATGCCCTCCCCCTCCCTCCCGAGCTGGGTAACGCGAGCAGCGGCAGCAGCCCGTCGTCTGCTTGCCGGAGTTGGTATTGCAGGAGCGATGTCTGCAGCAGCAGCAGCTCCCACCCCGAGAAGGAGCCGCCTCACAGCCATTACTGGGGCTTCGCCCCAGGGCAGCAACTGCTGGACCCAGGAATTTCTTCACCCAACCCCAGAGACCCCTCCTTCTACCCCTGCCCCTGGGTAACATGAGGGAGGGTGGATCAAGCCCTCCCTAAGAAGGTCTAGCAGAGGCAAAAAGAGATACAGAAATGGCACTCACAATGGAGCTCCCTCTCCTTGTTGGTCTCTGCCAAGGCTGCACCAAACTGGGCTGGAGCCTAAGGGAAAGACACGGGGTTAACGTGAGGCAGGCAGCGCCCCCAAGCAGTGATTCCTTTGCGTGGCCAGAGCAGGTACCGCCTGCATCACCCACCACTTCCCTTTAATCTCAACCCTCTATAAATAAATAAATAAATCGGAATTACCCTCCCCGGGGCGAAGGCGCACTCCTCCAGCCGCCGGCTCCTGCTGAAGGAGAGGGACAAGGTGCCGCCCCGAGGGTTCCTCTGCGCGAGTGCGGGGGAAAAGCAGCGGCGGCACCCACGGCCAGGAGCATATATTACCTGCTAACTTGTCTAAGCAGCCCTGAACCGGCGCCCCGGGGCTCGCTAGGCCCACAGCGGCAGCGCCTCAGCGCTGGGTGAGCGCCTCGGCTGGCCGCACGCTCCCGTTGCAGTTGCCCCTGGTCTCTGGTTTGCCCCCCTGCAGTCGGCCAGCAGCACTGCCGCCTCCTGTCCGCCATTAGAGGGACCCAGACAAACAATACGGGAATGGAGCAGCGACGACGGCAGTATCAGCGGAGCGCCGGGCACGGGAGAGAGGCACACGCGGGGGGGGAGGGGGTGGCGGCGAGGGCGGTGGGCTGGGTAGGCACAGGGGCAGAACAACGAGGGCCCGGCGAAGAAGGGAGGGAGTTAAAATAGGAGGCGCTAAACTAGACCCGGCCCTTCCCCCAAATGCCCCCGGCCCCCCTCCCAGCGGCAGCGTTGCCCCCGGGCGCCCCCCATTTACCCCCGTCGCCCACCTCCGGGCCACAATGGTTATCCGCGGGGCTGCCCTGGTCCTGCCCGCGCCGCCGCCACAAGGGGTGGCGGCGCAGCGGCAACGCCACCGTGGGGTACTTATCCCGGGTAGCTCGGAGACACGGCGGCCGCTCTCCCATCCCCGCCCTGGGGGCAGTTCCGCGCCGCCACCCGCCGGCCAGCTCGTCCCTGAGGCGCAGCACCCCGCACCCTCACCTTACCCGGCTCCCCCACTGCTTGCGGGCACGGACCCCCCCGCGGGGGACGCACGCACTCTGCGCTACTCCTCCGCCGTCTCAACTCTAACTCGGTCCAGTCCCGAGCGAAGCGCAGCTGCTAGCGAAGGGAAGGAGGAACGGGGCCAAGGGAGCTCGGGGAGATCCGCCTCCCTGTCCCGCCATTGGCTGTCTCAGAGGGCGGGCTCTCACGCTGAGCTAGCGGAGTGGGTGGGCAGCCCGTCCATCAGAGCCGCCCGCAGACGGTTGACCCTATAAACTGCCAATCTTTCTCCTGGGCATGCCTGGGGTTTTTCTCACTTTGATCCGTCAGGTTTGAGGAACCCGGATCGTTGCCCACCGAATCATTACCCGCTTCCGAGGGTGGCGCTCCTTGACAGCAGCAACTTGCAGAAGTTCTCGCTGCCGCCTGCCCATGTTCTGCTGGCAGGGAGGGTGCGCTGCCCGTCCTAGCCCTGCGTTCAGGTCCCTGCGGGCGCCAAAGCCCCGGCCGTAGAGCGCGGGCTCACCTCTCCCTCTCTGCCCCCTAGCGATGGGGTTGGCGGGGCTCTGTCATGGTCCCCCGAGAGGTACAACCCCGTTCCTTTCCTCGGTAGGGGTTTGCACCTGGGGCCACTTCCATGAGGGACAGACCGTGGATAATGGAAACGCTCCCCCACGGGCAAGGGAGAGCGCACGGATCCCAGGGAGGGCGCTTCGCCAGCGCTGGGCAGCCCGCCCTGCGGAGCAGCGGCGTCCGCGCCCTGGAACGCCCTCTTGCCCCAACCGCTGTGGGGGAGGGCGCCATGTCAGCCGCCGACATGGCTCCTGGAGGAGCTGCTGGTGGTGGTAGTGGTGGTGGTAGCAGTGGTGACGTCCTCCATTTTGTCGGAAGCTGCTGCGGGGAGCTTGGGACCAATTCGAACCAATGTGGGGCGCCCATTTGAGGCGCCTCTGCGCGGCTCCCGCGGGAAGAGGCGCCGGGTGCCCCCGGCAGTGCCGTGGGGTGGGGAAGAGTGCCGAGGGCGGCTAGGCGCCGGGAGCCAAGCTCTCCGCCCGTCCTCCGCCAAAATGGAGGATGCGCACTTCCCTTGCGCGCCTCCTTCCCCCCGCGCTGGTCATGGCATTCACGCCCGCTCCTTCGAGGACCGGGAGAGCTCAGTCTCCCATCTCGCGGGCCGGTCTCGCTCTACCCTATATACTCATCCTCCCCAGCCCATTAGAGGGGGAGAGAGTGCGCGGTGCCCCCCTTGCCTCTAGCCGGTGTCAGTTCGTGTCGACCACGCGGAGCAGTGTCCCTGGAGAGACCGTCTTGGCGTGCGCCAGGAGACCGACTGAAGCCGCTGGCGCCATTTCCAGCGCAGCGCTGGGAGGCTCCCTCGGGATCCGCCCGGGCAGCCCAGGAGCAGCCCTGCTCTTGACTGTCGCAGAAGTCAGTTAAGGGATGGCTCCTTCCTCCACCACCCTTGCTGTGTTAGGTTAATAGTTTTTCTGTGTGGGAAAGACCAGAAATTTTCTATCTTCTATTGTCACAACAGTACATCAAATTTCTTCCCAATGGTCGCACCCGGAGACACAAGCTTCAGTCAACAACTCAAGCCAAAAGCTTCTCCAACACTGTTACTGTAAGTTGTGGATGGGAATTAATGTGTTGGGGATTATTTTCACACCATTTTAGCCATCAGAGGAAGCTTGGAAGGGCCACTTGGTGCATGGGGAGAGAACACCTCAGGGTTGGTGGCAGCTTGTGCCTGAAAAGAAGAGGTGAGCTGATGGCGAAACAGCTCTTGCACAGCCACTGCCAAGGAAGAAGGTGCCATGGAGATGAATCACCACCCCTTTTGAAGGTCTCCTCAAAGCTGCCCTGTAAATTCATAAACTTTGTTGTACTGCATCACACCACACCTTCCGCCTAATACTGTTCATGGTAACCAGCAGCTTTTGAAACTTCAGCATTCAGTCACATGTGCTCTATCAGGTCAGCTGGCTCCTGACAATTTCCATTATTAGCCTTGGATATTTTCTAGGTTGCTAAAAGTCATCCTCCACATAACATATTTTCCAACCTTTCCAGTTGGTACATCTTAAGAAGACCTCTTCTGTTCTAAAACGGTTCTTATCCATAAATATTTATGTTCTGATGAAGTTCAGAAAGAAATTCAAGAAGACTTAAGCACCTGGTTTTGAGAGCTTTGATACATCCAGAGATGGATGGTAGAAAATGAGTGGTTTTCTAAGTTAGAACATCTTAAGTGAAACTTATAACTTAGTAGTCATGAAAAAAGTAATCAAACAGCACCTTCCTCTTACCACTGCCCTAGTAATAGACACTGCCTAACAGTGTTATATTGAACTTTTATGTAGCAAGGTAGCAATAGAGCATTTCATTAATGTTTTAGACTGTATATTTCAAACAGATGTTAATAGTTTTGCTTGCAATTTTGAAACTCTACTGAAATGTATTTATATATAAAAGTCTATAACTCCACAGAACCCTTGTCCCCTTATAGACACGTAACCCTATTTTTTAATTCATGTTTAAATGTAAAAAAGAAATAATGAAATACGCCATGACTTTTCCATTTTTTTCTCAGCTGACATAAAGGAGGAAAATGTTAAGACACCTACGTAAATTCCTCTTCACCTGTAAAACCATGTGTAAATCAGAGTATTTTTAAGAGCAATCCAGATCAAGTAATTTACGTTTTGAAAGAGTTAGTATTAGCTCAAACACTAAGCCGTAAAATCTCTTCATGAAAACCAGAGAATGGATGTATTTATAGGCTCCACACCACTGATTCCATGGACAGGCCTGACGTCAGCAACTTCACTAAAGAATGTCAAACTTACTGACTGGCAGTAGATAAATTCAACAATGCTGAACCAGCAGTATGCTCAATGACTTACAAGAAAAGTGACATCCTTCTATCTGTCATGGAGTAAAATTGTTTCAAAAAGCAGTTGACTGTATTTGGACTGAGAAGTAATCTGATATATTTTAAAGAGTTTATGTTTCAGCGGGAATTGTAAGCATATTACCAAGCCAACATTCAAGTGATGCATACTATATTCTAGGAACAGGATGAACATAGTTTAAAGATGCCTCTTGCTATCAGAAGTATTTATGATAAAGAACAGGGACATTTGTTCTAGAATTAGAAGGAAACATATACCTTTCACTGAAGGGCTTTTTCAGCCTGATCACTGCTTAGGTTTACATCAACCTAATTGTCTGGGTGTCTAGAACAGAGTTTGGAAGAATGAAAAAGAAATTACTTCTTTGCCTCAGTCTTCACTGGCAAATGCTCTGAACGCACCACCCAAGTCTTAGAAGGCAGACGCAGGGACTGTGAGAATGAAGACCTTAGACCCACTGTAGGAGACAATCTGGTTCGAGACCATCTTAGGAACCTGAACGTGCACAAGTCCATGGGTCCTGATGAAATCCATCCACAGGTCCTGAAGGAGCCGGAGAATGAAGTTGCTAAGCCACTGGCCATCATATTTGAAAAATCATGGCAGTCAGGTGAAGTTTCTGATGACTGGAAAAAGGGAAATATAACCCCCATTTTCAAGAAGGGGAAAATGGATGACCCAGGGAACTAGAGACCAGTCAGTCTCACCTCTGTGCCTGACAAAATCTCCTGGCAGATTCTCCTGGTGGAAGGCATGCTAAGGCACATGAAAAACAACAAGGTGCTTGGTGACAGCCAGCATGGCTTCACTAAGGGGAAATCCTGCCTGACCAGTTTGGTGGCCTTCTATGATGGGGCTACAGAACTGATGGACAGGGGTACAGCAGTTGATGGCATCTACCTGGACTTGTGCAAAGCGTTTGACACTGTCCCACATTACATCATTGTCTTGAAATTGGAGAGACATCAATTTGATAGGTGGACCACTCGGTGGATAAAGAACTGGCTGGATGGCCACACGTAAAGATTTGTGGTCAATGGCTCAGTGTCCATCTGGAGATCAGTAACGAGTGGTGCCCCACAGGGATTGGTGTTGGGACCAGTCTTGTTCAACATCTTTGTTGGTGACATGGACAATGGGATCGAGTGCACCCTCAGCAAGTTTGCAATGACACCAAGCAGTGTTGTTCAGTTGATACATTGGAGGGAAGGAATGTCCAAAGGGACCTTGACATGCTTGTGAGGTGGGCTGATGCCAACCTCATGAAGTTTAACCATGCCAAGTGCAAGGTCCTACACCTGGGTCAGAGCAGTCCCAGGCACAGCTACAGGTTGGGCAGAGAAGAGATTCAGAGCAGCCCTGTGGAGAAGGACTTGGGGGGTTGGTCGATGGGAAACTGAACATGAGCTGGCTTCAGTGTGCGCTCACAGCCCAGAAGGCCTGCATCAAAAGGAATGTGACCAACAGGTCAAAGGAGGTGATCCTGCCCCTCTGCTCTCATGAGACCTCACTTGGAGTCTTGTGTGCAGTTCTGGTGTCCTCAACATAAACAGGACATGGAACTGTTGGAACAAGTCCAGAGGAGGGCCACGAGGCTGATCAGGGGTCTGGAGCACCATCTGTGTGAAGACAGGCTGAGAAAGCTGTGGCTGTTCAGCCTGGAGAAGGAAAGGCTGTGTGGAGACCTCATAGCAGCCTTCCAGTATCTGACGGGGACCTGTAAGGATGCTGGTCAAGGGACTCTTCGTTAGGTACTGTAGTGATAGGACAAGGGGAACTTAAACAGGGGAAGTTTAGATTGGATATAAGGAGGAAGTTCTTTACTGTAAGAGGGTGGTGAGGCACTGGAATGGGTTGCCCAGGGAAGTTGTGAATGCTCCATCCCTGGCAGTGTTCAAGGCCAGCCTGGACAAAGCCTTGGGTGACATGGTTTAGTGTGAGGTGTCCCTTTTAATAGCAGTGGGGTTGGAACTAAATGATCTTAAGGTCCTTTCCAACCCTAACTATTCCACGATTCTACTTGAACAAGATGCCTTCCCTACTTCATATATGTAACCCTTGAAAAGCAGAGGTTCATGAAATCCTTTAGAACACAGTTTATTGTAACTGATTTGAAGATTGGCTTGGGGAGAAAATGTGTTTGGAATGCAGATAAAACATATTTATAGAACTTTGTTTCCACCACCAGCAGAAGTAAAAATGGAGTGTAGTCCTTTGTAATGTATGTGACCCCAAAATTTCTTTTATTGTTGGCCTCTATACTGCCCTGCCACACAAACCTTGTAGTCTCTGCCTCACAAAGTTTTATTGATTTTTTTTATCTTACTCTTTTATTTACTTTCTTCCCCTACTATTTCTGCCAATATTTGTCTTTCTTTTCTGCCCTTAATCTCACTTATTTCTCTATTTAGCCTCAATCCCGTTGGCCATCACAAAGAAGAAAGATGTTGACGAACAGTATTAGTTGATGGAACATGTCACATTTTCATGGTCTTTCATGGCATAATGGAATTCTGGTCTGCTAGATGGTTGCCTAACACAACTTCAAGAAATTGTGTTTCCTCAGAGAGGAAAAAGATTCAAAAAAACAAAACCAGCGAACAAAACCCAAATATATAGAATCTTAAAACACCTGTGGCCAATAACACCTTGATCATTCTGGTGTTCTGATTTTGGGGTTTCATTAGACATTGTATCTAGTCTTTATGGACTAAAGCTCTTAATGAAAAAATACCATATGTGTGTATATTTTTGTGTTGCACATAACAGAACCCACATTATAAAGAAATTGAAAAAAAATTGCTTCCTACAAAACTCTTACCTGTGGTTTTCATTGTGGTTGTTGAACTACATACGCTTTCCATAATATTTACAAACAAACCAATATATATATCTATAAATAAATTGCTTATAGCTGTTTAATTTGCAGCTTATTTAACCAAAAGTGATCTTTCAAAAGGTAAAATAATGAGACAATATATACTATCCTGTGAGATTACTATTCAGTACATAATATGTCTTCAAATGAACTTCATGTTCTAAACTGGGCAACCACCCCACAGAAAACATTCCAATACAGTAAAGGCTAAGAATGTAATACCCAATAAAGTGTTATTCTGAAATCACTTGCAGTGAGTTTACAATAATCAACATCATTTTTAGTGGCAAAATAATTTTTATTAGTTTTTAAACATTTGAGGTGTTTAGTTGGATAAATCTCTTTTGTCTTTATGGAGTAGAAATGACA